GGTGGATGCCCCATCCCTGGAAACCTTCCAGGTCAGGTTGGACGGGGCTCTGAGCAACCTGATTTAGTTGAAGATGTCCCTGCTTATTGCAGGGGGGTTGGCCTAGATGACCTTTCGAGGTCCCTTCCAACCCAAACTATTCTATGATTCTATGATTCTATATTTGTGAAGATAACAAAGCTCTAGTGGTCCCTTTTTTGTTTTAAGGGCTTATGAACTTACACATACACCAGCAGACATGCAGTAGCTTAAAAATGAAATTACGCTATAAAAAGGAATAGAGACATATTGGAAACCTTCTTTAAAAAAAGAGGTAAATATAAAATGCTAAAATATTTCAATTTAGCTATAGCACATTCTTTTTAGAGTGCTGAAAGCAAAAAAGGAGACAAAAAAGCAGAAAATCATGGAATTTCTTAGAAGAGATTTTACTAGCTTCACTTGGATATTGGCAGATCTTCCATGCTTCAACTCTGACTGGCTTTCCAGGAAATGCCAAAATTACACAGATTCCACTCATGCTCAGAAGAAAGCGGAGAGGAACTGCAGATATGTCATGGTTTTATCCCAGCTTTGCAGAGGAGAGAGTGTGCAGAAGAAAATTCTGCTTGTCAAATCCACTGTGAAGTTTCCAGAAGCTGCCAATGTTTGCCCGCCAAATCAAAGCATCCGTCCTGACTGTACCCACCTGAATGGGACAGGGAAGTGGGGAGGGACCAGAAGGGAGAAATGTGGCAGCACTGGGTCACAGCAGGAGCTTCTGCTCCCCAGCTGCCCAACTCTTGACAAAGTCTTATTAAGTAGGATGGCAAAATTAAGTTGGCGAGTCAATCCTAGACCAAATTTGTATCCCACCCCATTGCTTTCCTGCTCCATTCTGCCTTTCAGATTCCTGCCCGTCCCTTAAGGATACCTGATTATCGAGTCCCTTTCTTTCCAAGCCGTCCTCTATTAATTAATGATGTTCCTCTCTGAACTGCTGTCTCTCCATTGACAAGCAGACACGAATCCCCAGAATGAGCAGGGTATAATGATGAAAGGAAATATCTCCTGCTCTGGAAACCAACGATGATTGATCTCTACTGTAGCAGCTGGGGTGAGCACATGAAGCTCCCATTGATCTTGACACAGCACAAGCAACTCAAGGCTTTGAACTACTAGTGACCAGAGCCAGGACAAGTCTTATAGATAACAGGACAGTCAGTGCATTACACAAAAGAGAGGGCTACTGTTCCAGCCCTGGGTCTGCCTCTCCAAACAGCAGCTGTGTTCCCCCAAAAATCCTCCGAAATCCCTTTCTTTCTCCATCCACTTGCCCCTCTCTTGCTGAATCCGCTATGCAGACCCAAAGATGGAGGAAGGAAAACGTCCTTGCATAAGAAGGAAATAAATACAAAGGAAAGAATCCTAACATAGCTCCACATCCCAGTCAGGCACAGATAAAATCAGGCCCTACACTGCCTGGATCTGGAGGAGTAGTGCAGAGCACGCAATTGTCCCAATTAACAATTATAGCTCCTGCACTTACCCTGCATTGGACTTACCTTGGCCACCCAGGCTAACATGGACTCTGAGCTTGGGATCGTCAGCATAAAATAAGTTTTTGTGCAAGAAGTTATTCTGGTGGCAGCATCAAGGGATGGGGAGTCTATGCCACGGTGTCCTTTCCACTATGCAGTCACCTTCCACCATTAGAGGTTATGGCATCACCAGTCATGTAGGACTGCCTGCGATGAGGGGATTCCCTACTTCCTAGGGAGTGAAAACACTGATATCCCAAACACCCCTCTGTGTTTGGCTTCGTGGAGTTGGTGATGGAGGAGAAGCAACTGAATCCCACTGATGGAAATGGAGGGGGTAAGGTTTGCAAGGCATCCCTGTACAGACTGGACTCATGGGGTTTGTTTCCCTACCTCCACATCCCAGATGGGTCACCCCCAATATCAGGCTGCTGTTGGCTGCCCACCTTGACTGTGTGCTTCAAGCCTACCCCCTCCAGCGAGGTGGCAGGTAGCCTAATAGGGACAGAAAGGAGGGAGGGAGGATGGTGGGGGTCACTCCCTGCGGTGACAAACTCACATGTCCTCCTGCAAATGGGGAAAACCCCCAAAACGCTTCACACTTGTTTGTTTTCCAAGGTGGCCTGTCGAAATTGTCTTTGACTTCATGCAGACCACAGCGTGTTACTAAACAGAGCTGGAAACATCAGCTGTGCAGTACCTGGGCCACCAGCTTAGTGTCCCAGCCCATCTTTCCCAGTTCTAGTGGCTGAAGTTTAATAAACCACACATGCAACATGTAATTAGAGAGAGCCGTTACACTGCGTTAAACTGGCTAGCTGGCTTCCGGGTTAAATAGCAAAAAAGGAACCGAAATTTTTAAAAAAAGGCAACAAAAAAAAAAAAAAAACAGAAGGTGAAAGTCAGTTTGAACAAGAAGAGTAAAAAGCGAGAGCTTGAAATTGCATTAAAGAAATGACATGATATAATCACACTTTGTCTTGTAACACTTCCTAAAGAGCCTGAACTAGCAATCCCAATGAGACCATGATGATCCTGAACATCTGACAGGCTGGAATGGCCTCAAGTTGCGGCAGGGGAGGTTTAGATTGGATGTAAGGAAAAATTTCTTTACTGAAAGAGTGGTGAAACATTGGAAGAGGCTGCCCAGGGAAGTGGTGGAGTCCCCATCCCTGGAGGTATTTAAAAGACGTGTAGATGAGGCGCTTAGGGACATGTTTTAGTGGGCATGGTGGTGTTGGGTCGACGGTTGGACTCGATGATCTTAGAGGTCTTTTCCAACCTCAATGATTCTATGATTCTATGATTCTATGAAATATTCCAAAGACATATTTTTTGCTGAAAACTGCTCGAAGTGGGAGGCATGGACTTCAGAGGGAACAGGATGCACCCCATCCCGTCATGCTGCATCTCCTGCAGGAGTTTGGATAAGTCAGAGCAGGAACTTAGAAACTTCATGCAAGCAACGGCAACCAACAGAAGAGACAGAAACACCTTTATCTTGCACAGACCCTCGTCGCCTGGTCACTGGGCTACCACTGCTCTTCACCTCTGGCTTTAATGGGACACCTCCTGGTGGCTTGCCATGTACCGATTCTGACCCGAGATCCAATTTTACTGGAAAAATGAGTCTGAGATATAAATGTATTGAATAAGCTACAAAGCAGGCCCCACCTCCTGCCATACAGTCATCTCTTTTCATGATCCTTGGAGAAGAATAGGAGGGTTTGCATGATGGACAATAGCTGAGGTTGTTTAAGCTGGGTGCTTTGTGTCTACGCATGATGTGTAAGCCCAGGGCTATTAAATAATCCCAGTGGCTATGCCTTGCCTCGCAGCTTGTTGATATTTCTTCTTTTTTTGTAGTGGCTAGAGACACCTGGGTGGCTTCCACAAATCCTGGGAAAAAAGTGTCTGTAGCTGTGAACAGCAAGGCATTAAACCACACATACTTTTCTTCTCTGTGTTTTTACCCTCAGCAGGGACCAGAGTTTATCACCAGGAGGAGAAGTGGAAAGCTGACTTGCAATCCCTTACTCGCTGGAAACAGCATGGTTGGGGTTTTGGTACTGTAGTATCTCTCCCCACGCTGTGAGCAGGGTTTCAGGGGGCTGTGGGTGGGAGCATGCCATCTCCCTCTCTCCTCTCCAAGACACAGGTGGAGGGAGCACTGGGAAGACAACAGGACCGGGCCATGAATGTCTGGGCCAAGGGAGTGTCTCAGGTTCACTACCCTGAGCCGTTCAGGGAGGATGGTGCATGGAGAAACCACCGTGGTCTGAGCCACCCCTCTCCAAGTGTGGCAGCAAGCCCACAGCCTCTTTGCTTGCCAAAAAACTTGTCTTTCCCATCCCCAAACCCTGCTGCCCCAGGCATCTGCCTGCTTCTCCTGTGCCTCAGGCCAGCCCCAGGCTAGTAAATCCTCCTGCAAAGTGTGATGGGCAAGTTTGATTGTGGAATTGCAAAAAATGGTAAGGAAGAACCTTTCTGTGGTTATGCCAGGTGTGCCCCCCCCCCTCCCCC